ATAATATTATAAGGAAAAAATACATATCAATTCAAACTCTCAAAAACAATAAAAAATCTTAACATTAAATTATTTCGTTTTATTTAATTAAAACTCATTTTAAAATTTTAAAATTATTTTATTAAATATTGATATTTAAATATAGAAACTGATTATATTAAAATATATAATGAGTTTCTAAATTTAGATATTAATATTTAATAGTATAAGATTTCAGTTTTCAAATATAAATTGATTACCTAATTATTTTTGGGACTCAAAACTAAAATTTTTTTTAATATCTATTACTTGATTGATTAAATATTTAAATTTAGGACTTTATTTAAATAATATTTCCACCCAACTGTATGATTTTATTTTTTTTAGACTTTATTTAATTAAAAAAATTAAATGATTAAATAAGTCAAAAATCTCACTCAAATATTAATTCCTTTGCCATATAAGCATGACATGGCAATATTTTGCCATCTAAGCAGCCAAGCATAAACGGCAGTTAAGCCATGCGAGCAAGTCCAAACGACAGTTAAGTTGGCGTGAGAAGAAGGGCTTAATTGCTTTGATAGCAGAGTTCAAGGGCTTATAGGCATCAATTAAAGTTAAGGGGCTTAATAGCGATTCTGGGGTTAGTTCAGGGGCTTAACTTATGGTTTTGCCTTTTTCTTTCTTTCCTTCTTTCTTTATTCTTTTTTTTATCCCCTTTTTTTTTTTTTTAAATAATCCCGTTCTTACTTAACGGTCCGACTAAATTCACGTGGTTCTACGTATACTAGTCATTCAAACCAATTATAGCTAGGCTTGGTAGCCATACCTGCCAAAATCACGTTTGTCCAAACCTGTCTTCTCCATTAATATATATGTCCTTTTTTGTGCTATAAATCTATGAATTCTAAGTAAGAATAGAAACTTAAGGAACTATCTTGCAGAGGCATACATGGCTCTGTTCCTCCTATACTCCCTTCTTTTTGTGATCTTTATCTTGGTCCTTTTTACTATACTCCGTAGGCCGCAGCACCGCCTTCCTCTTCCTCCGGGCCCAAAACCATGGCCGATTGTAGGGAACCTTCCCCAAATGGGTCCGATGCCGCACCAGAATCTGGCTGCCATGGCCAAGGTCTACGGACCTCTCATGCACCTCAAGATGGGATTCGTGGACGTGATCGTTGCAGCATCTGCCTCAGTGGCTGCGCAGTTTCTCAAAGTTCATGATGCCAATTTCTCAAGCCGGCCTCCTAATGCCGGAGCTAAATATGTTGCTTATAATTATCAGGACCTCGTGTTCGCACCTTATGGCCCGCGGTGGCGCATGCTCCGTAAAATCAGCTCCGTCCATCTCTTCTCCGGCAAGGCCTTGGACGACTACAAACATGTCCGGGAGGTTAGTTTTGATTTTTTTTAATTAGTAGTCAGCTGCTTCTGCTTGGCAAATCTAAATTTTTAATTAAGGGGTACTATTCAGCTTAGTTTTTACTACTCCCCAAGGCCCGAACATAATTATTAATTTTTTAGTTGTTTTTCAAGTCAAAACTTTTAGTTACCGCACCTGTAGGTTTGACTGCATTGATCCAAATGCGCCATATTTTTTGCAATTATCAGAATTTTAACAGCTGTAAATAGCAGTTTATTTAATACATATCCCCCTTCCCCAATTTCCCCCTGTTCAAAAAAAAAAAAAAATTTAGTTACTAGGCACAATTCAGCTAATTTTTATTATTCCCTCCCCTAAATTTTTTGTTTAATTATGAAAATGTCTTAAATTGTCAACGAACGTAAATATATAACTTAAAAGTAATTTTTTTAGCGATAATAAAAGATATTTTTGTTGAGTTTGAATTATAAAATATATAAATAAGATTGATTAAAAAAATGAAAAAAATTTATTTTTCATTCTGCAATTAAGAAAAAAAAAAGATTTATCTAAAATTAATTTTTATTTTTTATTTTTTTAGTTGAAAAATATTTTTTTTCAATTTAAAATCATGCATTGATTATTGAATACAAACTTTAATTATACTTCCTATATTCATTTTTAGTAATTCTACTTTAATTTTTAAGTTTTTGGATTAGCATTTAGGTTAAAATTTCAAATTTTATTTCATTAATAATAATAAAAAATTTTATGCGTAGTTTTTATTGAATATTTATATTTGATAAATATACATTTTATATTTATTTTTAGTAATTTTAGTTTATTTTTTAATTTTTAAAATAACATTTAGGTAAAATTTTAAAATTTTATATTAATAATAATTAAAAATTGCTTTTCTTCGTATGTGTAATTTTTGTTAAGTATTTATATTTAATAAAAAAATTTTAAATATAATTTATATAATATACTAAATTTTAAAAAATTTAATTAAAATTATTAAAAGTTAAAAAAATTAAAACTATTAAAAATAAAAGAATAGAATAGTTAATTCGTCGTGGAATTGTGAACATAGGAGGAAATAAAGGTGCTCGTCCGGGCTCTGGCGGATGCTGGAACCAAGCCGGTGAACTTGGCGCAGTTGCTGAACGTATGCACGGTAAATGCTCTTGGGCGGGTGATGCTAGGACAAAGGGTGTTCGGTGATGGCACTGGTGGAGCTGATCCCAAGGCGGACGAGTTCAAATCGATGGTGGTGGAGCTCATGGTGTTGGCTGGAGAGATGAACATCGGAGACTTTATTCCGGCGCTGGAGTGGCTCGATTTGCAGGGAGTCGTGGCTAAAATGAAGAAGCTCCACAAGAGGTTTGATGCCTTCTTGACCACCATTCTTGAGGAACACAAGGTCAAGGTTCGCCATGGTGGGGGGCAGCACACAGACCTCTTGAGTACGTTAATTTCACTGCAGGAGGAGGCCGATGGCGACGGCGGAAAGCTCACAGATACCGAAATCAAAGCTCTGCTATTGGTAATCTTACTTCTCTACTCCATTCCCAGCCACTCAAAATAATTATCAATGTTTGACATTTATTTATTTATAAATTATTATCATTCCTTAAAAAAATAATGATGAAGGAAAGATTACCGTGATTGGGAAATTAAGATTATCTTTGGGTTAAAAAATTAAAAAAAAAGAATAGTGAAAAAAAAATTTGTTCAAACAAATTAAAATGATATATGAATGTTTAACAATAAATTATAAAATTAAAATGGAAAAGAGTAATGACATGAAGATAAGGATGAAAATTTAAAATAAAAATTTAATTAATAATATGCATAAGATATATTATTAAATTAATTAATATAAAATATTATAAATATTTTATATATATAAAAAAAAAAAGAAAAACGGAAAAAAAACACATGGCAGTTGAGACTTTGTTTTCTTGTGGTCAACCACGTTTAGGGCGAAAAGTTGGAAGTTTAGGTGATTAGGTAATTAGGTGAGTAGGTGATCAGGTGATCAGGCGATTCGTTGGAAGTTATTAGATGAGATGATTTCATTCGGATAAATACTACGAGTGGTTATTATATTTTCCTCCCACCGTATATGGGACAGGGTTCCCATGGTATTAAGTTAGAGTTTCCCTTTTATTATTCGTACAGTAAGAAATTGTAAATCAAAAATCATGGAAAGGAATAATTTTTTATATAAAAAATTATTTTATTTGATAATTTAATTATGTAATTTAATATGATATGAATTGTAAAATAATTTTTTATTATTTAGTTAAACAAAAGTATACGACTACTGTTGATTTAAAAAAATTTTTAATTTATATTTTAAAAATATATGTTAGAGATATATTTATTATATCTTTTATTATTAATTTATAT